CATAAGGGTAAGAGGAGTTCTTCGTTAGAACCGCCTATCCCCACTTTAAATGTGTTTGTTGGCAATTCTGACATCACACACTGCATACTAATAGAAGAATTATAATTTGAATATTCAAAATCGATAATCATCTAAGATTAAAATATTTTCGAAACTAATTATTTCGATATAATATTAATATATCTATAGTATGTCTACTTTATTCATATACAAACAATTATTATCTTAATTATTCGAATACGAAATTACATTTATAAATTATAAATTAAATTAATGTTACAAAAATGTTACAAATTGTAATTAACTTATATATATTATATATTTGAGAAATAAAAAAAATTTTATCGATATCGTTAGAATATTCTGGATTCTAAGTTTACGTTAATACATCGACGAAATACAGATCGACGTTTTAGATTAGTATATGAGACAAATACTATGGTAGAAACAAAAAAACAGTACTGTTTACTGTTGGAAAGAAGTCTAGCTGGACAAAGGCAAAAAATGTCCTTCACTAGGACTGCCTATCTCCACTTAAGACGCTTTGTTGACAATTCTGACACTACATACTGCATACTAGTAGAAAAGCTATAATTTGAATATTCAAAATCGTAAAAATTATTTTCATTTATGAAGTTACGAAGCTGAAATATTTTCGAAATTATTAAATACGTCTAACTTATTCGTGTACATACAATTATCTTAACTACTCAAATACAAAATTATATTTATAAATTAAACTATCGTTATAAATTGTAATTATCATATTATGAGAAATAAAAAAAATTTTATCGATATCGTTAGAATATTCTGGATTCTAAATTTACGTTAATATATCGACGAAATACAGATCGACGTTTTAGATTAATATATAAGACAAATACTATAGTAAAAACAAAAAAACAGTACTGTTTACTATTGGAAAGAAGTCTAGCTAGACAAACGCAAAAAATGTCCTTCGCTAGGACTGCCTATCCCCACTTAAGACGCTTTGTTGACAATTCTGACACTACATACTGCATACTAGTAGAAAAGCTATAATTTGAATATTCAAAATAAAAATTATTTTCATTTATATATAAGTTAAAACTGAAATATTTTCGAAATTATTAAATACGTCTAACTTATTCATGTACATACAATTATCTTAACTACTCAAATATAAAATTATATTTATAAATTAAACTATCGTTACAAATTGTAATTAGCATATTATGAGAAATAAAAAAAATTTTATATCGATACGTTAAAATACTCTGGATTAGTATATGTGACGAATACCATGGTAGAAACAAAAATACGTGTGAAAATAGGCATTTCTTTCCACATTAACCAATCAAACCCATCTTCCTTTCGCGAAATTTCTTTCCATCAGTGAACAATAAAGAATTGAAAGCTCGATAACTCGATATAATCGGACCTATATTAATCTCCGGTATTTCTATCAATTGTACACAATATGTTTTTCAATCTTGGCGCGATACAACGACGAAGGATCGTTGAAATTGAATCCTCCCGTTTAAGATCGTGGCTTCCCAAGGAAAAGTGAGCTCGCGTGCCGTGACCGATAACGCTAAGCTTGGAGGCTTAGCTTAAAGGAAATAAAGATAAATGAGGGCGTTTCGTGCGGGACAAATTGAAAGTGGAAAGATGCCTCCATATATCAGTATTTGTTCCCGCGCATCGCGAATAAGCTCGAAAATATATTTTTTCGAATTAAAAAGGGGACAAGCGAATTTTATTAAAAAAATTCTCCGGTCAGAGTGGCTTCCAGAGTTTCATCCTTCATAGCGTGTATCGCTTTTTCTCTCGTCTTATCGGTGACGAAAAAATCCTGTGTCGATACTATATTCGACACAATGGGAGGTTTACAATAGAAGGTTTCGATGTCCATTGTACGTGCACAACGAACGAAAAAGATCAAACATTTCTTTCGATCGATCTTCCTTTTGTAAAGACACGTTCGACGCGAGAGAAGTAAGATAGAGGAAACGTTTCTTCCTAAAAATACCCGATCGGATCTCGGGTGAGTTATATACCAAATAAAATCCGAAAAATTTGCGAATCTCTTTGCAACAACGAGGTAAAAAGTTATCAATCCGACAAAGACGAATCGTGCATGAAAAGAAAACGCGTAATGGTCCTCGTAGATATTCCGCCTGATAATTTCCATTCTAATAGATCGGCGAAAATTATTCTTTTCCACGATTCTCTTTCATTTCGAATTGTTTCACGCAAAAAAAGAAGATAGAAATATAAATCGCAGAAAATTATACCGTACAGAGAAATTGTTGCGAAATTCGAATCGAGTTGAAAGAGAAAGATAGAATTATCCGATCATCGCGGTATTCGAAATCCCAATCGACCGATGATTATCTCACGAGCGATCGCAGCTCAAGTTTCGCTCAAAACAACGATCGCGGTAAAACGATAAACGGGCATTTATCCCCCGTTTTATCCGTCAATTTCACCGATAACGATGCATGCGCCTTTTTAGATAAATTTCTTCTTCTTCTTCTTCTTCTTCTTCTTGATTCAAAAATGTAATTGACGATCGATCGCGTGAAAGGAATATAATCGAATCGCGTACAGCTTCGATCAAATCGCCACTTCCTTCGTATTGACCGCTGTCAGTCTCCGGTGATATTAGATTATAAACACGTAACACGATTTTGAATCGACCGGTAACTATATTCCAAGTTCTTCTTCGATGGCTTTGGTCGCGATACGATCTTCCAGATTCGATCTCGCCAGTCGTCGAACCGATAACTCGATCAACACCTCGCCACACTTCCGCCATTCTCAAGAGTAGAATCGTTCAAATTGTTTGACAATGATGACAATTCTAGCGTTCTATCGGGCCAGAGAATAGGAACAGAATAAATAGAAGGGTCGAGGGATCAGGAAAAATTTTTTTTTTTTTTTTTTAACCAGAAAAGTTTAATCATGTTTTCGTT